GAGAACCTAAACAAGAAAGTATAATACTTTATTTATTTTTCATTGCTTGATAACAATAATGTAAAATCTTACCTAGAGCTCCATTCATCCTTTCGAATGAATAGCACCAAAATGAGTATAAAGGACATAGTCCCAGCAGCATTCTGCAAGATGGAGTGAAAGGTGAATATTTGGTGTTATCACCTCCGGTCCATAATTCTCTTCAATTAAACGGGCCACAGATAATAGTCGAAAATGAGCTTCATTCAATATGTTATCATTAATTGTTCGACATACGAGCAATGAACAAGCTCTAACAAAATTGGCTAGAATTTTCCGATCAGGAATACCCAAAAGATCCCACATTAACGGAGTTGCATACACCAGAATAAAAGTTTTCCATTGATCGGCCGCAAATCCGGAAAACCCTTCACCTGTTGCCATTTTATACGGAATTCAGCCTAAATCAATGGAAACCTTTATAGTTTTTGCACGTTTCTCCATTCTTTCAAGATCAGCTTTACTTAATTTTCCACTATCAATTCACAATCTCTTTACTATCCAACACGCTATTCCCAAGAAGAGGCAGTGCATAGGATCAACTACTAAGTGCCTTATTGGATTAAAGTAAGGCAATCTTAGCATTTCAGACCATCGAACAAATTTTATAGAAACATGACGCTTCCTTTCATCTTTTGATTTACAATGCCTCCATTCTTCAGCATCCTATCTATGTTCATCCAAATCTTTTTGGATGAACCAATCGTTCATATCATCAAATCCACCGAAGTTGAGCTTTCCTTCAGTATTGGCTATTTTGTAGCATCGATGACAACTGATCAATGCCAAAATATGGCCGCATAACTTTCTTGCAGCTGGAATATCATTTGAGCAGCAAATTACTGCTATTCAGATTCTTTTTCCCGTTAGATGCGCGTTGGTTTGAGGCAAATCTACCCCATTCCAGAACTCTAACAATTCATTAATAATTGGATTAAGATAATGATTAATTTATGAAGTTTTACTTCATCTGGTCCCGGTAAGAGCCCAAGGTATATCATATTTTCTCATTTGAATCTAACTTTACGGGGAAGGTTACATATTACTCCATAGATAGCACCTGAACTGTAAGGCGAAGATTCAAACGGCTGAAACCAGTCGAGATTCAGCATAATCCCGAGATGCGAATTGGCGGTTTCGTGTTGGAAAAATCGAGAATCTGAGTTATCAATGGATGATGGAAAGGTTTTCCATACTTCTCCATCATAAATATCTGCAAATAAACCCATTTCGGTAATCTGATTTGTCCATTTTTGTAGTAATTCTTCGAAACCTGAGCGCTGATACATCGTCATTATTTGCATTTTTAAAGATGGTATAGGGAATAACATCTTCGGTCTTCTGACAAATCCATTATTTACCAGAATCTTATTTGTTAATTCTGTTCCACAGGGTCGTCTTTGATTGCGCATTGAATGATTTGGGTATTCCACATGCGTGCATTTATGCCCAGTAGGCAAAATTTCTGTAACTTTATATAACGTATTACAGCTTAGACACATAGCAAATGTCACTTCTTGTTTGCCGATTCTAAAAATTTTCTTGTCATATATGAACTTGTAGGAAATTTTTCAAATCGCAGCTGATCAACATCCAATAAAACCATCCTGAAAAATTTAATAAGTGAATTGATGGCAACATCCGAAAGGCGAAATCTTGCTTGATATTTGAATATCCACAATAGTATTCACGAATCATCAAAGTTAATGTTAGTGTCAGGATATTCGTGATCTGGTTCAAATTCAAGATCATCCAGATCAGGAGCGGTAAATTGCTTGAACGAAAGATCATTTTCGCTTAAATCTCAAACATCATCATTAGTAGAAGAACTTTCTTTATCACCTGGTGGTATCTCAAAACATTCTTCATCAGAACTTTCTTCTATTGGAACTTGTTCTGATTCATCATATTGAC